GACGGATAAATGTATGCTAAGCTAGGGTCGCCAATAAGCTTCTAGGAAGACTAGACTTTAAGGAAGATTATTTAGGCAAACGATATAAGATGGTATTCAATTAAATGCTTAATTACATAGCATCCATGAAGAAGGCCATAGGAATTCTGGAAATAAGAGTAACAAGGGGTAAATAGGAAAGGTAGGCCTTAAGCTGATGCTTGAAAAAACAAGTGAGGTTTGATGAAGTGGAGGAGAGAGGAAAGGACTTCTAAGTTCTCAGAAGTGAAGGCAAGGATACAGTCGTGAATATATTGTATTCACATAATGTTTTAACACAGTCAGATGATAATGTCATCTTAATAGCACCTCTACCAAACACTCTGAGAAACATAAACCCAACTAGTTTTGCCAAATATGAGCTTTAACAGTGGTTCTCAACCTTCTCTCCCTTTAAATACAGTTCCTCATGTTGTGACCCAACCATAAAATTATTTTCATTGCTACTTCATCACTGTAATGTTGCTACTGTTATGAATCATACTGTAAATATCTGATATGCAGGATGGTCTTCGGCGACCCCAGTGAAAGGGTCGTTCGACCGCCAAAGGGGTCGTGACCCACAGGTTGAGAACCGCTGCTTTAGAAGGATAGAGGTGGAAGAAGCCTGGGCCACGTCAAAATGAGACTAGTCAGCAAACACAAGCCAAGGAAATCTCTCGGGCTTCACAATACCTTGATCCCAATGTTGGACCCTGATGGGCTCCTCGCCCCCAGCAGATTCTGCAGGTCACACTTCCCCGTGCTCCCACTTAGGGGTCTTACCAACCTAGTGCCAGGCAGGACTGTGCTCTCTCTTCACTTCTTCTGTGCACACAAGCCTCTACAGACACCTCCCACTTTAATCCTGCAATCAGCGGTCCAACCCTCAACTGGAGTTCACACATGGTAATCACCTGGGGAGCGTGCCCGGTCCCACCTGCAGAGGCCTGATTCAACTGGTCTGGGGTGTACCCTGGGCATCAGGATGTTTCCAAGCTTCTCAGGAGATACTGATGAGCAGCTAAGGCTGAGAATTATTGGTTTCCTTCCTGCCAGAGATAACTCACCCCAACCAGTCCCACCCTACAGCCTGGCTCAGATGGAACAATTTGCCCCAAACAGTAGGAAAGAATTTTAATTAGCTTGGTAACAGCAGAACTGAAATTAGATTCCAGGTTTCCTGACTTCCATATGCACCATTCTGCCTCGTGGCCAAGATTCTTAAAGTTTTCATATCAACTTGATAGCCAACGTGTGACCAGGAAAACAGGGAAGCCTCCAAAGATCCCCATGAAGCGTCCTTTGGTCCTGGTTCTGTCCAGGTTCTTTCATTCGTATCACTCACTGTGCTTTTCAAGACACTTGCACTCGCTCTCAATGGCAGACTGTGAACAACACCCTTGCTTGGGTTCTGCTCCTCTGGCTCTGGTTATCAATTTCCAGTTACTGGGGAAGAGGCTTAAATTAGAGTCAGAAGCAAGCAAATGGGACTGGACGGTGTTTACTTCTCACAACCTTTTTAAAAATAAATCCGGAAAAATACATGAATGTGTGAGAGGTTTTGAGGGTGGGGACACAGGGAAGGTGGCATTCTTTTAGTACAAATTGCACATGTCATCTGTGCAACTCTATAATGCAAAAGAAAAAGAGGATCCTTTTAAATAGGACTCGGATCCCCATTGCTTTTTGTCCGCATTTTGATATGTAATTTAGATCTACTTAAAGCTTAACTATTACTCCCAAGGCAGAGATACCCTCCCAGTTGGCAATATTATTCTCAGGAAAGTAGCGGGATACATTGAACAGCATTCGCTGCACCAAACCATTAACGGAGATGTTATGTTTTTATTAGAACAATAAGAGTAATAAATACAGTCTCATTTTAAAAATTATTTAATGTACCCACATGCTTGCTTCCATGATCAAATGCTCCCCTGTTTGAAAATAAGAAGCCACAGGAAGAACTGAAGCATCACGGAGAACAAGATGGACATGAAAGTAGTTTATGAGACTGAATCCAAGCAGCGGGAGCCCCTTCCCCCAAGAGAAGCAGCCTGATGATGATGATGATAATGACGAAGGCACCAAGCCCAAAACGGAATTTTATGTATTTTTCTTTCATCTTTTATGATAATCCTTTACAGCTCTAAACAGACTTTTATGCACATTATTTTACTTTATCTTGACAGCAAACTTGCTGTGGCTTTCCAGATAAGAACACTGAGCCTACAGAGAATTAAAGCGGCTCGCCCAAAACCACACAGCTAGCGTGAGGGGCTTCCATGACACAGAGGAAATACTGTCTTCCCATTCTCAGGCTTTTCATCACTTCTTTCACTTTGTAATGACCTGGGTGATGCAAAGTTAACGGAGCTTCAGTTGACTTCTCTTAATCCTCAGCAGTCTTGTTACTTTTCCATTATTTTTTAGTTACCAGATTTTTATTTTTTGACAAGAGAATATCAAAGAAGGCAAAAACACAGTATTTTGTCCCATGTCTCACATAGAGTTTAGAAGACCAGCCAACAGGTTTGCCAGGAAATCACTATTAGAATAAAGCTGGAACCATAACCATCACCCAGGGATGTAGCCAATCAGACGGTGCACTGAGCAGGAAGAAGACAGGCAGCTGCCGCAAACTCTAAAATACAACTACAGCAAGTCTGCAAAATGCAATTACCTGAGCATGAAATCCTTCCCAATTATGCCTCTGATGCGCATGCTGTTCCACCTGGTCTGTCTGATTTCCCTCCAATAGTATCAGTTTCTCGAGGGCAACGAAACAATTCCTCCTAACCCCTGCACTTGCTAATGTTTATATCATCACCACCATTTATTACCTGCCCTTGATAGTCACCTTCAACAGACCTTTCCCATATAAAACTGATAGGAAAGGGAAGAGAAATTTCTTTGCTTTAGTTTGCATCACGCCCCACATGCCTAGGGATGGCCTATTCTCAACCCCAGAACATTCTTATAATGATACTTTCCCAACTATATAATACCCTGATTGCCCATGGGAAAGAGTTAAATAATGTAAAAAAAAGATGAGAGAACTTGGCTCAGCTCTCAAGAGTCTTCTGGTATGAACCTTTGACCTAGGAAATAGGATGCTTTGGCACTTACTTGCCAGACAAGGGAACAGCCAGCTTTCCGGGAAGGAAACTCTTGATAGATGGCCTCCTTCCACAGGGAACTCTCCCCACAGCAACACTGGAGTGGACACTCTTCATTATAAAGACAGAGATTCTGCTAGGGAGAAGTTACTACATATTGTTTGAGATTATTGCCTAATCAGCATTTGAGCCAGAAAGGAGCACAAGGAAAGGTGTTCTTTTGCAGAATAAGGTATCAAAAGTGGCATTTAAATCAGGGGTCAGCAAACATGATCCATGGGGCAGATCTTGCCCACTACATATTTTTGTATATAAAGTTTTATTGGAATACAGCCACATCCCTTTGTTGACATATTATCTTTGGCCGCCAACTCTACAATGGCAGGGGTAAATTGTTGTATAAGAGGCAATATGGCCCGCAAAGTCTAAAATATTAACTATTTGAAAATAAAGGATAAATAAATAAATAAAATATTACCTATTTAATCCTTCACAGTAAAAAATAGTGGCTAGCCCTAACCAGTTTGGCTCAGTGGATAGAGCGTCGGCCTGCAGACTGAAAGGCCCCAGGTTCGATTCTGGTCATGGGCATGTACCTTGGTTGTAGGCACATCTCCGTAGGAGGTGTGCAGGAGGCAGCTGATCAATGTTTCTCTCTCATTGATGTTTCTAGCTTTCTATCCCTCTACCTTCCTCTCTGTAAAAAATCAATAAAATATATTTTTTAAAAAATAGTGTCTAATCCCTGATCTAGACAGTCCACATGCTCACCAGGAAATTTTATTGTCACTCATTGCAGATCTTGACTCAAGTAAATGTCTAGGTTTCTTTCTGTTGATATATCCAGAGAGGAACAATTTTCTGTGGGCAAGCAGAACACACCAGGAGGGGCTGAGACCTGGACAGAGATATAATCCATTGCTGTAGTGCTCACCTGCAGGACAGAAAAATAGAAGTATAGTTCAGGAATGATTCCAACTATATGACACTCTGAAAAAGATAAAATGATAGAGACAGTAAAAAAGGTCAGTGGTTGCCAGGGGCTGGGGGGTAGACAGCGATGAATAGGCAGAGCAGAGAGGATTTTTAGGGCAGTGAAGCCAATGTAGTTTTTAGAATATTTAGAAACTACATCTGTATGAGAATATAATCATGGATACTTGTCTATACATTTGTCAAAACCCATAGAATGTACAACACCAGAGGGAACCCTAATGTAAACTATGGAGTTTAGGGAGTTTGGTTGATGTGTCAACATAGGTTCATTTATTTTATCACTGTGCCCCTCTGATCACGTTGCCTATGAGTGAACGAGGAATGCATGTCTAAAGGAAAAACTGAAGTATCATTACCAGAATGGATGCAAGGATGCAAAAACAAAGAAATTCCATTATACTAAGGTAGCAAAGGCTTTTTAAATTCCCTCCTGCGCTCCATGTCAGGGTCCAGGGAGAAGATATGAAGATTCTAAGACACCAGGCAAGTCATTACAAAGATCCTGTCATTTATAGTGAAGTATGAACAACTGAGACTCTTCATAAATATTGAGGATAGTTGGGGGTGGACAGTCCTGTCTCAGTGGGAATTTCCACATGATCAGATCAAAATGAGAGTGAACCTATATAACTGGTAAGCATCATTAAAATGCTTCACATTTTAAGAAGGCTATAAGTGGAACATTAGTATATAACAATTCTTTGGGCTGAAACCAAGTCTAGCAACATACATTAAGAAGATTAATTAGTTAATGTTTATAAAGTACTGTGCAGATATGCCCTTTCGAAATGCTAAATATTCTAAAAACTACATTGTAGCATTTTACTAAATGCAAAAGATCTAATGTTCATCATTTCTTTGGTACAGGTTGGCAAAGATTCTTTTGGCAATGATTACATAGAAAACTTTAAACAGAATGATATTTCTACAGGTAAAATTTCATCTTTTTTAAAGTTGGTTTTTATAACTTTCTTCTGTGATCTGATTACAAGAAAAGCTGAATATAGAATAGAATTATTAGATCCTCCCCTGGTGGCCAGGGAATTTTTATGCATAGCTTTGTCTAGTATTGCTTAAATAGCCTATGGTTAATTCTTTTATGTACATTCCTCCAGACAACAGGTTACAAACCTTCAATTCATGGAAATGTTTCAAAAGCAGGTGACAAGAGAAAATAGGTGCTACATTCACAGAAGATATTTTAAGAAAAATCATTAAGTATCATAGCTGGAAATGATCTTAGAAACCATTGAGGTCTGATACTATCTATAATAATAAAAATGTAATATGCTAATTAGACCAGACATCCTTCCGGAAGACCTTCCTGACAAAGCCGGGGCTGTGAGGGAAGCCCGGGTCCCGGGTGCCAGAGGGAAGCTGATGCAGGCAACTGGGGGAAGGAAGGCCTACTCTTGCACGAATTTCGTGCATCAGGCCTCTAGTTATTTCATAAGAGAGAACACCGAAGGCCAGAGAGGTTATGAATTTGTCCAAGAGCACAGCTAGCTGTAGCTACAGCCAGGACCAGAATGCAGGTCTTTGGCCCCAGTTCAAGGCTCTTTGCTGCTGCCGAAGATGGCTTGGTCAACATCACCATTTACATGCCAGGCCATAATTCTTGATGAGATGCAAAGCTTATGAGAATGAAGAAAAACAAACAGGTTGATTTTATAGGTTTAACCTTTAGTATTTCACTCAAGTTTGTCATTTCTTTCACTGAATATGGTAGTGCAGGGGAATGCATATGCATACAACTATGAATAATTTGGGGGAATTGGAAGCAGGGTGGTTTGTTAGATTGTTACTAATGTAAAAAAAAGGTGCAACTAAGTATAAAGATTTGTATTTTCCTCATTGTATAGGTGATGAGTATAAATTAGCACTAATTACTTATTTCTTTTTTATCATTCCAGATGATTAAAAAGATTAAAAAGTTTTCTAAGGCTTAGTGGTGCATTGAAGTTGTTAAAATAAATTATCCAAGCCAGGCTGTGTATACATGATTGTAATTTTTTTTCCTTTAGAATTTACATATCAAACTAAAGATGCTGCTACAGGAACTGCTTCTATAATTGTCAATAAAGAAGGTATGTGTTTTGCATATTGAAGTGTCGTTTCATAAAACAGTGCATTTCCAGAACTAGAACAGAAGCATCAGTTTTTATCCTAATCTTATGGATCTCTTACCATACCCACCAAGCCTACAGCATGGTCTTTCCAGCCTAAATATAAATGTTTCCCTTACTTATACATCCCAGGCTGCTCATTCAAATATAAAATTGTCCATCCTATACATATGAAGCATTATATAGTTGCCTCAAAATAATCTTTATATCCTGTAACACCCCATTACCCTTCATGTGAACTCAGAATTGATATTTGTCTCTAAAAGCAGTTAAGTATTCATCTGTCATTTCAGTTACACCAGGTAAATAAATGTAAATAGATAGGTGCAAAAGAAAGTTGATGAATCATATTTATAGAATATTTACTGAGCAAATGGCAGCAACTAATTACTTCTAACATGTCGTTAGTGTTCAATTTTGTCTGCTCTTTAAACAGCAATCAAATCTCAAAAGTCTATATATACAACTGTGTCTGTCACAAGGCCTTGCAATAGTGAGACATTTGTCTTTGAAAAGAGTAACTTCCCTTTGCCCTCAAGTAAAGTGTTTATGATTTCTGCCAACTATTTTTAGTATAAAAACACCACCACACAATTTTAAAAATCAGAATTAATATTTAGAATGGCCAAGCATTTTATGGGGCACCTAGGACAGAACCTAGAGCATTATGGGCAGTCAGCGTGCATTGTGTTAGCTTAGGATTTGTCACAATATGTTTTTAACTTATACTGCAGTTTCACAAGATCATTTCTCACAGAAGACACCATATTTTTACCTTTAGTGATCCCAGAGTTGCAGTGTCCTACTTAAAGACAGTCAATAAAAGTTTTCATTCTAACAATAGTCTGTGTTCATTACTGTAAGCTACCTCTTAAGTGATTATTGCTGCCAACAGCAGCTCATTCCCTGCCTTAAACCTCTTTTTTGTGTTCTAGGGATATCTTTGAGTTATGTTTCTTCCTTGTCTGGGTACAAAATACTGCATTTTTATGCAAAGATATAATTTAAATTTTGTATCAAGTGCCTATTATGTCTGTTTATAGTGTCTGGTAATGCCCTTAAGAGTATAGGTGGTGCCCAGCGGGCATGGTGTGGCACGGTTGAGCGTCAACCTATGAACCAGGAAGTCATGGCTAAATTTCCAGTCGGGGCACATACCCGAGTCACTGGCTTGATCCCCAGTTGGGGGCATGCAGCAGTCAGCTGATCAATGATTCTCTCTCATCATTGATGCTTCGATCTCTCTCCCTCTCTCTTCCTCTCTTAAATCAATAATAAAAAAAAATTTTTTTTTAAGAGTATAGGTGGTAGTAGAAGAGCTAATCCAAATACTCAGAGCAGCTTCTTTAAATGAGTGAGTAGCCAGATCAAGCAGAGAATTCAGTTTTCATACGTTAAAGCGGAGGCATGGGTGAGCCAGCCACACGGCAGTGCCCACCCTCCAGCGGTGTGTTGGGCTTGTTGCTCATCAGCCAGGGCCAGTCCAGAAATGCAGACTCAGGAGTCAGCAACACCGAAGCAGCAGCTGACTCCAGCAGAGTGAGGTCACTGAGGGGAAAGGGAAGGAGGTAAGCTGTCTTTCAGTGTGTGGTACTTTGAATTTTTCCAGCACTGAGATTGGGTTTACGCTGAACCCATCCCCACTTTATTAAATCCTCCTTGTGGCCAACAAACACATCTGTGGTAAGATGATAGGCTAGCATGTGTTCTGTGTTCGGAGGTAATTTTAGGTCATGTCTGTACAAGAGCAGCACGAGCAGCCTGCGGCACCAAAAGTACTCCTGCAATTCATCCCACTAGATCAACACTGTCCAACAGAAACACAATGCAAGCTACATGCGCAAGTTTAAGTTTTCCATTAGCCACACTTAAAAAAGTAAACAGAAGCAGGTAAAATTCATCCTAATATATTCCCTTAACCCAATATATCCAAAACATTATCCTTTCAACATGAAATCAAAAAGTTCTTAAAAATTAATGAGATATTTTACCTTTTCTTTGTACTCAGTCAGCCCTTAAAATCTTCTGTGTGTTGTAAAATTAAAGCGAATCTCAATTTGAACTAATTCATTCAAACGCTTAGTAGCCACATGTGGCTTGTGCTTCTGACTGTCATATCGGGCAGCACAGCTCTTGAGAGTTCACCTAACAGATGAAACGTACCACCACACCTCCCGCATTTAGGTCCAAGTGATGGGTATACAGGGTAGGGCAAAAGTCCTTTTAAAGCTGATCGTATGCAAAATAATACCTAATAAATAATAATACAAGAATAAACTCTGTGTTTCATATACTGACAACTCTAAACCTACTTTGGCCCTGCCTGTATAAGATTCCTGAGTCCTGCTGCTATTTGATCTGGTACAGACTAGGCCAAATATCCTTCTCTCTACCTTAAGTTATTTTTTTTTTTAATTAAATCTTTATTGTTCAGATTATTACATTTGTTTCTCTTTTTTTTCCCCCCATTAACTCCCCTCCTCCCAGTTCCCGCCCCACCCTCCGCCCTCACTCCCCACCCACTGTCCTCATCCATAGGTGCACGATTTTTGTCCAGTCTCTTCCCGCATCTCCCACACCCCTTTCCCCCCCAGGAATAGTCAGTCCATTCCCTTTCTATGTCCCTGATTCTATTATAATCACCAGTTCATTCTGTTCAGATTATTTATTCACTTGATTCTTAGATTCACTTGTTGATAGATGCATATTTGTTGTTCATAATTTGTATCTTTACCTTTTTCTTCCTCTTCCTCTTCTTAAAGGATACCTTTCAGCATTTCCTATAATCCTGGTTTGGTGGTGATGAACTCCTTTAGCTTTTCCTTATCTGTGAAGCTCTTTATCTGACCTTCAATTCTGAATGATAGCTTTGCTGGATAAAGTAATCTTGGTTGTAGGTTCTTGGTATTCATCACTTTGAATATTTCTTGCCACTCCCTTCTGGCCTGCAAAGTTTCTGTTGAGAAATCAGCTGACAGTCGTATGGGTATTCCCTTGTAGGTAACTGAGTTTCTTTCTCTTGCTGTTTTTAAGATTCTCTCTTTATCTTTTGCTCTTGGCATTTTAATTATGATGTGTCTTGGTGTGGTCCTCTTTGGATTCCTTTTGTTTGGGGTTCTCCGCGCTTCTTGGACCTGTAAGTCCATTTCTTTCACCAGGTGGGGGAAGTTTTCTGTCATTATTTCTTCAAATAGGTTTTCAATATCTTGCTCTCTCTCATCTTCTGGCACCCCTATAATTCTGATGTTGGTATGCTTGAAGCTGTCCCAGAGGCTCCTTACACTATCCTCGCATTTTTGGATTCTTTTTTCATTTTGCTTTTCCGGTTGGGTGTTTTTTGCTTCCTCGCATTTCAAATCATTGACTTGATTCTTGCGCTCCTCTGGTCTGCTGTCGGGAGTCTGTATAATATTCGTTATTTCAGTCCGTGTATGCTTAATTTCTAGTTGGTTCCCCAATATAACATCGAGGGTCTCATTAGTTTTCTTGTAGATCTCATTAAGTTTATCGGCGGCTTCTAAACAGTTCTTGAGAGACCTTAAAAGTGTGGTTCTGAACTCTATATCTTCCATTGACAATTTTGTCCTGTTTCTTTGTCTCCGCATTTTGTTATGCTTCCTTGGTGCACCCCCTAGTGGTCTTTGTTCGCAGTCTTATAGTTAAATCTTGATTGTTGTAGCTAATTCCAGGGAGGGTTTGACCTCCAGACCAAGTGGCTATGAGAATCAGCTGTGTCAGCAGTGAGAGAACTTCTGTCCTCTAGGGAGGTGCTAATCTAGCCTTTGCCTGAGGCTATCCGGCAAATGCCTGTGTGCAGGGCTTGGGCGGGGCGGGTCGCACAGGATCAACAGGGTGGGCCGGAGAGAGCAGTTATGGCGGCTCTCAGTCCTGTCCCCAGGGGCTCTGCCTCTCTGAGTCCCAGCACCCGCTGCAAAGCTCAGAGAGAAAGCTGCACTCGCTCTGACCGAAGCCAGACAGTCCCGCTTCTCCCGTTTGAGTCTGGGTCCCTAAAGACTCGCCCGGATCTGGAGCTCAGAGTCTGCGACTCCCTCCCGATTGAAAACGCCAACCGCGCCCTCCGCCGCCAGCCCGCTCCGCGCACTCCGCACCTCAGAATTTGACTTCAGCACTGCGCCTCCTCTGAGTGTCCGTATGCGTTTCTCTTTCCTCCTAGTTGTAGGACTTCCACTCAGCCAGCGTTCCTGTGGTTCTGGGTGATGTCCCTTCCGTTTTTTGGTTTCACTTTTGAAGTAGTTGTTCAAAGCAGCAAACTCCAGCGTTAACCTATGCCGCCATCTTGGTTCTCTAGGGGGTAGATGATCTCTACCTTAAGTTATTTAGTGCAATTTTTCATCTGCTAGATATTGCAGAATATGGTTTGATTTACAAAATCACTTTCAGAATACCATAGGGTCCACCTCAAACTTTTTGCATACAACAGAGCATTAGTTTTTAGCATTAGGCGAGTTTCTTCCTGTTTATACTCATCATTATGACACTGTCATTTAGGATTAAGAATCTTTTGTTGTTGCTGTTGTTGATCCTCACCAGAGGATATTTTTCCATTGATTTTTAGAGAGAGTGGAACGGAGTGGAAGAGACACGGAGAGAGAAACATTGATGTGAGAGAGACACATCCATTGGTTGCCTCCCACACACGCCCTGACCAGGGCTGGGGATAGAGCCTGCAACCGAGGTACATGCCCTTGAACAGAATCGAACCTGGGACCCTTTAGTCCTCGGCCGATACTCTATCTACTGAGCCAAACTGGCTATGGCAGGATTAAGGGTCTTTACCACATACATTGTACCAGCCATTTCCCATAAAAGAAAATTTGGTGTATGTTATATATCATTTCTCAGCTAATAGTCTTTGTATATAAGAATACTGATAAAGGAAGTCATTTTTAGATTTTGCTCAAAATGATTAGAATATGAATCATTTACATAAATATTGTAAAATACATTAGGAATTTGAAAATTAACCTAGAAATGTTAAAATTCATAAAACACTTTTCATGTAATGACTTTGTAAGAGTGACTGGAACATTGCAGAATATCACTGCTTGGCTTTCCTGTATTTTAACATAATATTAATATAGAAATTCTTTATAGGCCAGAATATCATCGTGATAGTGGCTGGAGCAAATTTACTTTTGAATACTGAAGACCTGAGAGAAGCAGCCAATGCCATTAGCAGCGCCAAAGTAATGATCTGCCAGCTAGAAGTAACTCCAGCAATTTCTTTGGAAGCCCTAACAATGGCCCACAGCAGTGGAGGTAATTTTACCTGCTTGTCATTCTTTCTATAAAAGCTTTTCTCTCTGTCTCAATTAAAGTTAACCTTTTAAGCAAAGCAATACTTTTCAGTAGTAAAATATTCTTTCTCCCATCTGTAAGATTCACTGTCTTCTAATTCTTGATAACGTTAGAAAACCTTACAAATAGGGTAAAAGTAACATGAGTAACATTTCTGATATATCCCACAATATAAATCTTCAATCTAGTTAGCAGAAATAATACAGGTAGTAACTAGAATCTCTGAAGCAGCTCCCTGTCCAAGATACAGCCCAGGGAGTGGACCGATTCCCGTTCTGAGAAGCAGAGGTTAAGCTGCATGTCATGTGTAATCACTGCCCAGGTACATTTTGATAAACTTCTCTAGGAATTAAAGGTTAGTTCTTCCTCCTTTTGTAAAACTTTACCATCTTTTCTATGAACAACAAAAGATTATTTATATGTAATATTTGCTATGTTGTCAACATCCTTTAAGCAGCTCTTTTGTTTGGTTTGACCTTTGATTTTGGACATTTTTGAGAATGCAGAAGCAGGCAGAATTGTATAATGAAACCCATCACCCAGCTTCAACAATTATCTACCCTTGGCTAATCTTGGGTTATCTGCTCTCCCTCCCAGACCTCCTCTCTCACCCCCAGCAAATAACTGACTTTTAGAAATCCAGATAGTTTCCTTCTGTTTGTTGCTTTTTTCTTATTGCTTTTCTCATTATCTCTTGTGAGCCTTGTGGTCTTTGCAGGATTATCTGATTTTGCTGAGCTTTGTCTGTTAAGTGCATATAAAAATACTCCCCCCAAATAAAAAATATATAAATAAAAATATTCCCCTACAGAATTGTTCTAAGAATGGAATAAAAGTAGTAAGTTTCAGTAAATCCAAATTTTCTTCTCTCTTTTAATTAAAATTTGTACAATAGCCTGATCAGCACCATTTGGTCAAAAAAATCAAAATAAAAACTAGCCACTCTAAGACAATGCTTCTTCATATTATGGCAATAGTTCTATATATATTAAGAATAGATAGAAAGAACCACATTGGCTTTTCCAGATAAAGCTTTCTCATCAAGTTACAATAAAAAAAGAAAAAGAACAGTGTGTGTGTGTGTGTGTGTGTGTGTGTGTGTGTGTGATTTCTCCCAAACATTTTTAAATGTTTGACCTGATTTAACAATTTTTTTTTATGGCAAAACAACATGCCATGGCAAATTCTCACTGACATTTAATGTATTTTTAATGGACTCGAAGCTGCCAGGAAGAATTCTGAGCCAGAAGCCACTCGGTTACGTTTTCTCAGGGTCCCAGATCAAGTGTGAGGCTGTGGTGAGCCTTCGCTGCACTGCACTCATTGACTCGGGGGATGCAGGCACAGCATGCCACTTCACGCGTGCTCCTCTCTTTCCTGGTACAGATCAGAGCATCTTCTCGTGTGTCTTCTCTCCCCTTCCTGCTACCCCTTGCTCCTCAGAGGTCACTGTTTCCTCTGCCCTAGTCTAGTTTCCTGTCACCTACCCAGCTTGTGGAGGAGAGACAGGTAGAGTACCCATAGCAGAGGATCCAAACTCCCACAGGTGAGGCTGGCGTTATCCAGATGAGCAAGCAGCCCGACCTGGGCCATTTGGGTGGGGTCCCGAATGCTTCTTCCATCGCCTGCCAGGCAGCTCTTCCAGTTGAGGAGCTACAGGACCAGAAAGGGGGACAGGGAGTGGTGAGCCAAAGACCACTTAGCCTGCTTCACATTTTGCTAAAGAGCTAATATGCCTAAGCATTAATCCTGCATTATCTGATGTAATCACACCAGAAGTAGCAAGCCTTGCATTTGTATGTGCTTTACAGCTTATAAAGTACTTTTATAAAATCCATCCTCAGAAAAACCTTATGGCAAAGATATGGCAGGTGTTATTCTCCTGGAGACTGAGACGTGGGGAGGTTAAGTAATTTCTCAGCCAAGGTCATACTTTCAGTCAGTGTAGAAACCAGGACTCCAGACTCCAGGACCCAAGTTCTGTGTCCTAGACCACAGTTTCAAGCAACTTCACAATCCCCTTGATTCTAGCAACTGAGCCTTTACGAAGAGTAGCTCTAGAAAAGTAGAATCTGTGAATTGTAACACTGCCCAACATGGAGCCTAAACTTTGAGTGTCTTGCTGCTCAAGTCACAGAGAAGGGACGCTAGAGTGTTTTCAGCAATGTGTCCCCACCCTCCCCATTACATGCACACATGCACACATGTTCCTCTGACCAGGAGGAGCACTGGTTTGGGAGTCATGAAGCATCAGAATCAATCACTTAGCAAATGGGGGACATCAGGAAGTCAGTCAGGTCCCTGTTCTGGGCCCCCGTTTCTTCTGTGAAATGAGAACTGAGCTAACATGGCGATGTGTGGGTGGACTGGTCACAGAGCAGAGCAGCGAAGCTTAAAGATCTGTTGTGAGCACTCACTGTCCTCCCCATTGCCCCATGAGGCTGTATATGTGCTAATCAGCGTTATTCCATTCACAAGAAAGATGGTACAGCCATCATCATCTGTGGGTTTATCACAGCTCTTATCTGTACTCACTAGTAATGGACTTTGAATTAAACACACTGTATAAGTAGATTACACATCAGTTGTTAACATACAGAGGAAGCCCTAGCCGGTTTGGCTCAATAAATAGAGCATCCGCCCGTGGACTGAAGGGTTGCAGGTTCAATTCTGGTCAAGGGCACGTACCTCTGTCGCAGGCTCCACCCCTGGGCCTGCTCAGGGAGCATGCGGGAGGCAACAGATCAATATGTCCCCCTCGCATCGATGTTTCTCTTTCTGGGTCTCTCCCTCTCGCTTCCACTCTCTGTAAAAATCAAGGGGAAAATGTTCTCAGGTGAAGATTAACAACAACAAAATACAGAGGAAGAAGGCCCCTCCATCTTTGTATAGACTGTCTCAGGATTCTCTTGCTATCTTTACCAAAACGAAAGCAGTGATTTTAAAGAGACAGCACCTACAACATAAAAAAACGCAGTGGTCGCCCTCTGGAGCCCCCTCCTCTCTAGGTCACCACGCTGTGAGGTGGCCCCAGACCAGAGCTGGTGCTGCAGCTGCTTGTGATGAAATTGTGCATGTTGGTTCTGGTCTTTATATCCATTTCAAAGCAAATGAAACATTACAGGAACAATTATAAATAATTGAGATTGTAAAATTGCCAAAATTAAATTCTAGGTAGGGCACAAAATACCTTTTAATGCCACTTTAGTCCTTTTCCATTCGGCAAACAAAACTCCTTGGCTGGCTACCTGGACTTTCACAATGACGCAGTCTAGCACGTGGCCCAAGCTGTGAGGGTTCACTGCTCAAGTGGCTGAACAGTACTCCTCGAGTGAGAGGCTGTCAAGCCAGGGTTTGGGGCACTCCAAACCCCCACGGTTTCTCTGCGTAGGGCGACCGTCTTCCTCTCTTTCTCTGAGCTAGTGGTGAGGGCCTTCCTTACTGCCCAGCCGCCACCCTCCAGGGTGGCATCATGAAGACCTTCTGCCTCATGTTCCTGTCTTGGCCCCAAACAGCTTCCTCCCTAGGCCTCCCAGGTCCTCACTGACGTTCTTGTGCCAGCCACGGACATGCTGTTAGGGCAGCCGGGGTTTTAGTCCGTCTGACGTTGTAATGAGTAATAATTGCTGTTGTGCGCTATCAGTCACCTCTCAGCCCCGCTTCTCCATCGTACATCCTGTGTTCTCCATTTCTCATGGTTCCAGGATGACATCAGGGTTTTTTCCACCTTGTCTCTTATAAACTTGCATTCTTCTTTGAGTAAATATATCTTCTCTTTTTTTTCATCATGGTGAAGCATTTATGCTTATTTATGGTAGCATGAGCCAAAGAGAGGCCTTTCTTTATGGCATTTTCACTTTTTCCCTCAATTTAGTTACTAGCAGACTCTAAGGCTATACAGCCAGTTATTATTGGTAAGAATGTTTTCCCTTAGTAAAACACAACCAAATAAGATTGGATTAATTTTTATACAATATTTATGGTCAAATTAAATTACAGAATTCCTTACTCCAGTAATTATTGCTTAAAAGCCAATGCATGTGTGTGTGTGTGGGGGGGGGTTGTTGGGGGGGTTAGGGGGGGATAAGGACACATATGTAATACCTTAATCAATAAAGAATTTTTTTGAAAAGCCAATGTAATTTTTTAAAATTTGTTTTGTGGAAAATTTTAAATATATACGGACATATAGAGAATAGTATGGTAAATCGACATATAGTATCATTTAGCTTCAACAGTTATCAGCACTTGACCAATCTTGTTTCATCTATACCCTAACTCTCCACCCCCAGCTGCGACCTTGGATTATTTTGAAGCCAAACCCAGACATGATATCATTTCATTCACAGTGTACCTATTTTTGATGTGAGATATTTTATGTTTTAAGAATGATGTCTTTGCATGGTGTACAGCGGGTAATCTGGTCAGATTTTTTTCCCATTAGTCCTTTGTAATTAATCATGTATTAATTTAATGATTAATCTCTCAAGACTTTTTTCTCATCTGTGTAAGTGTATGAATATAAATACACATATAGTTATATTTTATTTGTTTTGTTAAAAATAAAGACGGGTGTCATATACTCTGGATTTTATTACAAAACTGCCTTCTTCACTATAAATTATAGAAATCTTTCTGTGACAAATCAGGGACCTGCTCCATTCTTTTTAATAGCAGCAGAGTGTTTCACCGGGGTCTTTTGAGATCAAACGGAACTTTTGTAAGAGTGGCTTCCCCGGTGTTCCGCATGGGTAGTTTGCTCTAACCTCGGCTCACATGCTGCTGTGTGCAGATCTGAGAACCGTGTAGGTGAGTAATGGTGGCTCAACATAATGCTTAACGAAAATAGGGAACAATATATTTGTTCTGAAACCGAAAAAGTAAATGGGTGTGTTAGAACGCTGGGCAATGAGTGTCTTTATGCATCATTGGCATCACTAAAACCTCGCAAAAGCAGGAAAACCAATGAGAGAGATTGTTGCCAGGCTAAAACTCCAACAGAAGGCAGAAGAGATGGGTGGACAGGCGGGGGTGTCGGGCTGTGTGTAAAGGACAATATAATAACAGTAATAATCCCTTACATTTGCACACTTCACAGTTTACACAGGACTTTTATATCCATTTCTAATTTAAGCTACACAATAACCCTGAGCAGCCAAAAATATGCTATAGAATTCCCCATGGGTGGACATTCTAAAATAATGAAAGTGTGGGAATAGCATTATCCTGAAGGCACTGGACAAGGTCCACGGACTGAACCAAAATGTTAAGACCAAGGAAGGTGTAGAAGCAGACTCCAGCCTCACCACGCAGAAGCAGCTGACGGTCTCCTTTAGCCACATGCTGATAAGCATCTCCCCAAGAATGGGGAATGGGTTGGTGCCAAGATAGCTACCGAAGAGCCACTTGGAGAACTGGTCCATGTGCACATCCCCTGACCCTACCCCAAAAGAGTCTGATTCAGTGGCTTCGAGATGGAGCCCAGAAGTCATGCATTCATTAAGCTCTCCTAGTGATGTTGACGTGCAGCCAAGTGTTTGAACCATTGTTCTGGAGGAGTCTCGGAGGGTTTTATTGTATGGGTCCATGGTAAATTGGACTTACTAAACCCATAAGTCAGTGGACATGGGTAGAGGAAAGAAGGCCAACCAATCTAGCCAGGTAATCTGGTGGACAGAGTGTTTGGCAAGGGGGGAGCTTCCTTTGGGTGTAATTTCTAAAGACTTTCCAAAAATATTTACAAAGTTCCACACCAAATGCTGTTTTAAAATGAGGTAGGAGCGGGGTAGAGGGTGTCAATGGGGGGGGGGGGGGGGGAGGCATCTGTAATACTTTCAACAATAAAAATAAATTGAAAGGAAGGAAGGGAGGGAGGGAGGGAGGGGAGAGAGAGAGAGAGAGAGAGAGAGAGAGAGAGAGAGAGAGAGAGAGAGAGAGAGAGGAAGAAGAAGAAGAAGAAGAAGAAGAAGAAGAAGAAGAAGAAGAAGAAGAAGAAAAGAAAAGAAAAGAAAAGAAAAGAAAAGAAAAGAAAAGAAAAGAAAAGAAAAGAAAAGAAAAGAAAAGAAAGAAGAAGGAAGGAAGGAAGGAAGGAAGGAAGGAAGGAAGGAAGGGAAAGGAAGGAAGAAAGAAAAGAATTGTAATTTGGGGCCATGTTGCTATAGACAGTCCTGGCCTAGAAGATGCAACTATTTTAGAGATGATCAAACCCTGGACGTAAAGCTGGAGGACCCCTGGTAGGGATCCAGTTTACCCAAGGCCCAGTGATGACCTTAGGCTGTGACCTCATCTCTCTGAGCCTCGCTTTCCTCCTCTGGGAAATGTCAGAGCTGTGCCATTCCCATGCATCCTCCTCCTGCAGCCTCCTAGCCCGAGCTAGCTCCCAGCCTCTGATTGAATTTCTCCTTTCCCAGTTTCCTTGGTTCTCAGATTGCTCACAGGAATGTAAGCTTTTGTGTAAGTGTATATGTTCGCATGAATAATTCTGATATATTTGGAAGACATACATACTAGTAGGTGTCCAAAATATACATATGTACATAAACTTCCTAACTTACTAGTCTCACCAGGAAAATTCCTAGCTTTTCATTGTTTCTTTTCTATCATGTCTTTTTTCTTTCCTGGAAAATGGATTTATGAACTAGACTTGCAACTGAGTGTTTAAGTGAACCCACAAAAATGTTCACCAGCCCAAATGTTCACGTGCATGTCCTTTCACGCCACGTTTAAAATCTTCTCTACTCCTCCTGTTGCCCTTTGCCATAACTTTGTAATCACCTTGGTTGTAAACACTGATGCTTACCCTTGACGCTGAAGTGTTGTAAAGTGAAAAATAGAGCAAAAGAGATAAACCAAAGAACTTATATACGTATATGCAGAGCCCATGGACACGGACAATAGGGTAGTGAAGACCTAGGGGGGGAAGGGAGAAGGGGTAGGTGTTGGAAGGGAGGGGGTAAGGGGGGGAAATGGGAGATATCTATAATATTACCAACAATAAAAAATATATTTTAAAAAAAAAATTTTTTTAAATAGTAGAGCAAATGGAAATAAGGAGTATGTACTAGGCTATCATGGGGATTGAGGTTCCTTATAACTAAGTTGATTTTTCATCTAATGAGGAAATGGTTTTAGTTGGGGATTTCCCTTATAGAGTATCTGTAAATGCAGCACATTAAAATGATAACCACTGAAACCCTCTTCCATTCCTTTGTAGTGAAAACACTGTTCAACCCAGCTCCCGCCACTGCTGACCTGGACCCCCGGTTCTACACCCTCTCAGATGTGTTCTGCTGCAATGAAACTGAGGTAAGGCTGGACGGTCTGCGCATTCCAGGAGAAACCAAAGACTTCCATGCTAGTGAATGAAGCAAAGAAGCAGGACTAACCACATCAATGTGATTGCATGTGAATTGGGCCCCGTAAAAACAGTCTTTTCAGTTGATGGGTGTGGAGAAAGGAAATTAGTGAGTCCTGTGGGATGGGGGAACGGAGGGGGACTCCCTGAGTCATCACCATAATCTGACACTGATCAAACCTCAGTTGACCTTAGTGCCCTCCCTGCCGTTTTCCTTTTTAATTATTCCATATTCTACGGACTAATTTGTATTAGAGTTGCCTGATTCAGCAGATAAAAATATAGGATGCCCAGTTAAGTTTGAATTTCAGAGAAGCAACAATATACTAAATGTATTTACACTTTAAAATTATTTGTTGTTTCTCTGAAATTCAAATTTAACTGGCATCTAACAACCCTAACAATAGGTAACCCCTGGTGTGTTTGCTGCATTCTATTGTGAAGATCCTGTGACTACACTGGTGGGCAGACAGGCTTTCCATCGATACCTTGGGGCCACTCCATTAGGGGAGCACCCTCTCAGAACAGCTGAGGGCCATAACTTATAGCTCTGCAATAAATATCTATCAATATATTCATATTATGCCACTCATTCTAAAGCATTGTAGGAAGATAATTTTAATATTTCTACCTTTTATAGCTAAATAGTTTTAGACTAGAGCTCTCTACCACCATTGGGAGGCAGGACATATCATACAAGGCAACATGCAGAGAGACAAAGTTTGAAACTAATAAACTATACTGTAATTTTCCATTTGGTTTGAAGGCTAAATGACGGTTTCTAGGATTTGCCTTTTTGTTAATTCTTAGAATATAAAGTAAACAAGAAAGAAGACTGCCACAGGAGACTAATTTTAACAACCACAATATACTACGCAATATTTTTGAGCAACCACCACAGCCAGGCGTTGTACTAGGTAAAAAGAATTGTGGGAGATAGTGGCCATTGCACAATAAGAGGTTACATTACCCTCAACTGCCAAACTGCCTTCGAGTTCCCAGCTAGATACTTACAGAGCACTGTGTTCTTCAAACACTAATCACAGCTCGAATTACTAGACACTTATGTCTTCTCTAAAATTATTAGTCCTGTGAGGACAGGAATACCTGTCTTATTCACTGTTGTATCCCCAGTGGCTATCTCTATGTGTACAGTTATCTATTGCTGCAGAATAAATTATCCCAAAATTTAGTAGTTTACAACAACAGTAATTATTTATTGTCCCTCACGGATCCTGTGCACCAGGAACTGGCACAGGGCACAGCACGGCTTGTCTCTCCTCCACAATGTATGGGGCATGGAAGACTCAGAGCCGAGAGCTAGAATCATCTGAAGCCTCCTTCACTCACACGCTTGTAGTCTGATGCTGGCTCTTGGCCAGAGCACGCACACATGGCTTCTCCCTGTGGCCTGGGCTTCCTCACAATATAGAAGCTGGGTTTCAAGATGGGGGGTCGGTGGGGGGGCGGGGATTGGAGGGAGAGGGAGAGGGCCAGGTGAAGGTCAATGAAAACCTCATAAAAACCAAAAAGAAAGTGGCCTCCGAACATAACCGAGTCAGACTGAAAGGGCCTGTTGAAAAAGATGGTAAGGGAGGACGTGTTCACGGTAATGAGGCCTGTGCTGCTAGGAACATGAGCCCAGAATGGACAGACACTGCGGGGTGATTGGCAGGCAACAAAAAGGGTTAATCTGGGCATAACTAGAGCAAGCACCGGAAGGGACAGAACCGTCCTTAGGAAGAGGCAGCACCTGGTTAAAGTATAATACAGAGAGACAGAATTTGGTTACAGACTGTTTGAGTCAAAAAGCATCCTATAATCCAGTGATTTTCGACCACCTATTTAGAGATGCTGGAAGGGTGCCTGGGCGGTGAGGAAACAGGGCTCAGCCCTTCACACCGACTGTGGCCAGGGACCTTTTTATATCAGAGAGAGGTACTGATCAGTTTATGAAACCCCTCCTTTTATAAATCGTGCATGACTGGGAAAGGTCAGAGCTAGAAAGTAGCGGAGACCTGAATGTCATGGCGTTGCTTTTTTGGGCTGCATAGCAACGCCTCTCCTACTCTGCCTCCATCTTCTCCAGCAAAAACAAAGAAATGGGTGGTGCGTAAGGATGGAAGGCTGTAACTAGTCAGATGAGAAAGGCATAGGGCCCAAGAGAGGCCCAGAGGAATCACGTCCTTACGTGTGAAATTTGCAGGTATGATTTACATCATCAAAATCATTGGCACTGGCCCCTGCCTTTCTCCTCTCCCCCTCCCCCTTTCCTTTCTTTGTTTTGTAGGATTCTTTGTTCCCCTACCTCTTTATTATGAAAATTCCTGTACATACACACAGAAAAGCCAAAAGCTTTGATACAGTGAATACTCATATACTCTTCACCTAAAGTTTAGGTCCTAAACCAGTGATGGCGAACCTTCTGAGCTCGGCGTGTCAGCATTTTGAAAAACCCTAACGTAACTCTGGTGCCGTGTCACATATAGAAATTTTTTTATATTTGCAACCATAGTAAAACAAAGACTGATATTTTTGATATTTATTTTATATATTTAAATGCCATTTAACAAAGAAAAATCAACCAAAAAAATGAGTTTGCGTGTCACCTCTGACACGCGTGTCATAGGTTCGCCATCACCGTCCTAAACAGTTGTTTCACGTTTTGCTATATTTATTTTTCTGAGCCAGAATCTATCAGAGTTCTCCACTGCAGTGGTTGTTATGCAAAATAAGGGAGACAGATTCTAGAAAAACAAATCTCACGTGGAAGTGGGCCCAGTCTACTTTTCTCACCACTGTCTCTCTCACTGCGTGTATTCCAGGCGGAGATTCTCACCAGCCTGGCGGTCAGCAGCCCCGCGGACGCGGGGAAGGCCGCGCTGGTGCTCCTGGAAAGGGGCTGCCGCGTGGTGATCATCACCTTGGGCGCGGCAGGGTGCGTGCTGCTGTCTCAGGCAGAGCCTGTTCCAAAGTACATTCCCACGGAGAAGGTCAAGGCTGTGGATACCACGGTAGGTTCTACGTTTCAGAATCATTTTTGGCCTTGAGAACACATTTGGTCACTAACGTACTGCACTGCACTTTCTGTATCAGAAGGTAACGGCCCCAGGAGGTGATATGGTAGAAAAGAAAAACAACCAGGCAGGAGAACCATATCCCAATCCCTTTCTAACCAACTATAGAACTTTCGACAAGTCACTTAAGCTCTCTGAGCCTCAGTTTTCTCATCCATAAAATTGGAATATCAGTAAAGTTATACCTGTATTACCTATATTCGTTTATGTTTTCAATAAGTATTTATTGAATATCTATTATATGCCAGTACAATTAGGCACCAGGGCTACAGTGATGAACATGACAGTCTGTGCCATCAGGGGCTTGGATTTTAGACAATGAATCACCAGGTCTTACAAGCTTTATGTGGAATGAGACAGCAAGGAGCACTGGCCAGCAGAACTCATTCCTTCAGCCAACAAGTAGTAACAGCCATCACATACCGCATGCTTCTGTGTCTCTCTTGCATACATCTCATTTAATCTTTGCAAGAATTATATGAGGTAGGTATGGCCATGCTCCTCATTTCACAGATTTAAAAATGTGCTCAGGATCATAATGCTGGGAAGTAACAGAGCTGGGGGTTCCACACTAGGCCTGTGGGGACTCCACTACACTTTGTGTGCACGGCGCTGTGGTAAGGACAGGCGGGGTAAGTGGACAGGTCACGGCTAGCTAACTACAGGGCAGGGGTGAAAAGAAACAAGTTGGAAAAAGGGCTCAGGGTTCCGCTAAAGCCTCTCTTTATGGCCTAGAATTCAGAAGAGCTGACTAGAAAAGTAAGCACATGTCAGGAGCATGAAATGAGAGGACGAAGAAAAAGGTTAGAATTTTTATTTATAAGAAACTGCTGTGTAATTATTCACAAAACATGTTTTGGGTTTTATACTTTAAAATATGGGTCATTTATTAAAAAAGAAGCCTGAGAGGATCTGATGGCGTTTTAGGTAGAACATGCTTTGAAAACTAGTCAGTGCAAGGCATGCCTTTACAACGTGAAATTACACTGTCACTGTCGTTCAAAATGTGCTCCATCGCGTATTTGACAGGCTGTCCGTGGCAGTCATGCTCTTCCTGTTTAATCATTTGTGAATCCATTAGCTTTTTTTTCTGTTTTGTCAAGATGGACAGGGAAGGTTTCTTACTAGTTCTGAAATTGATCCTGCAGTAGACTACAACTATTCCAGGTCCCGAGCTAAAGCAGAAGCGTGTCTTCCTCTCTTGCTGAGCGTGAAATGAAGGGGCCCAGCAGTGGCTCAGCCTCAGCCTCAGCGGCTGTGTCAGTCAGGACTCCTTTTGCTCACCGGCACCAGAAGCACAGCTCAGATGGGCCTACACAGAAAAGGGGACTTACTGGGTGCACATAATTAGAAAGTTCCAGAGTATGGCAGAATGCAGAGGCTTACCCGAGTCCTGTCAGCTCTGCTTGCCTGGCAGTGGGCTTTGAGCTCAGGCAGGCCCCCTCCGGTGAGGGTCCCTGGAAGCTTCCTGCCCACACTGTGCCCAACATCACATCCCACCTCTGGTGTCACATAAAAATCAAAGAACTCTTATCAGAGGATAGGAAGTGGGTGCTGGTCAGACAAAAACCACCCGGCTAACACAGAACACTCATATGGAAATGCACTGTTTGGGCTGAGACTAAATGACGAAGAAACCACCCTGGGAAATGTTCAGATTCAAATCAATAGTAATAGCCCTCAGAGTAATTTCCTGTTGAAGGATGGGATTGCATAGATCACGACAGACGACAACTTTGAGCATCTTAAATACAGTGATGGGCACAAAGGAAGTTTTTGCTTTGTTTTGTGGTTTCTAAGCATTCCCAGTTAATTTTTAGGCTTTGGAAAGGTGAAACAGTGAGAGTTCAAAGGTGAAAACAGGGAAAGTTCAGAGGAGGAACATATTGCTTAATGCTTGGAGGCAGGAGATAGAAAACAGGATCAGGAAGGTCAGGGCACTGGATCAGGATCAGCAAGTCTTTCCTATAAAGGGCGAGATAGTAAATTGAAGGTTTCACAGGCACATACATACGTGCTCTGTCTCAATTACACAACTTTCATGCCTTGGTAGCATGAAACTATCCAAAAACAACTCTGTATGCTATTGGAATTAGGTTGGTATCTATATATATAAAAGCCTACTGTTCGACCGGTAGCTATGATACGCACTGACCTTCAGGAGACAGACGCTCAATGCACAGGCATGGAAACATGGAACAGACTGATGAATCTCAGAGGAAAGGGAGTAGGGTGGGAAGAGATTAACCAAAGATCTTATATGCATACTAGAGACCCAGTGCACGATTCGTGCACCGGTGGGGGTCCCTCAACCTGGCCTGCAGGGATCGGGCCAAAACCAGCAGTCCAACATCTCCCGAGGGGTCCTGGATTGCCAAAGGGCGCAGGCCAGGCCTAGGGACCCACCAGTGCATGAATCTGTGCACTGGGCCTCTAGTTTAGTTATAACTGGATTATTTTAAGTCAAGGTGTTAATTGGAATCACCAATGCAATCACTAGGACAAGAACTAAAAAAAAACCAAAAAACAAAAACACACTAAAATAAATAAGAAAATTAAAACAGTACATTAGAAAATGTCTAACACAAAAGACGCAGTAAAGCAGAAACAGGAATGAAGAAGCTACTGGAAGATAAGCTATTGTAAACTGAAGGATAAAACTAAGAGTAAAAGACATGGGATCTAGAAACAGGCGATGCAACATAGGAGAGGAGTGCAGTCAAGGAAAGTGAAGGGAAGTTCCAGGAAGCAGCTGTGCAGCGAGCTCAGAGCCATTCGGTCCAGATGAGGGCCTTAGGAGGAATGTGTCCCAGAAAAAAAAAGGGGGGGGAGAAATAGTGAAATATCCATATATCTGAATATGTCCATAATTTGAGGATGAACTCGCAAATTACTGTGTAGAAAACTGAGGAAATTTTTTTTTAATTTTTCCTCTAGGTCATCTGGAGTCCAAGGGGAAAAGTATGATTAAGCAAATCTTAGTACACCACATGATTATGAATTTATAGTCATAACAGTATAAGTTCCAATTATTGATTTAACTAAAAATGGAGATTATAATCATAATTTGTGAAGACTGAAAGAAAAAGTGAGTGTGTGTTTGTGTGCACATGGGGGAAGATAAGAGAACTAAATGCTCATCTTCCATAGTTGGAATTCAAGCGATAATATCAAAAACTGATTTTCAAAATAGCGGTATAATGCACATTACCAGAAATAGGAGATAAACAGCAGAAGAAACCGCTAAAAGAATTTAAAGTATTTGCCTAGTGGAAATGGTTGTGGAGAGAGATGGAGCATTTATACTCTGAGTCCTGTCTTTTTAAATTGCGCATATGGAGGGCTCTGATTCTTTTTTAAGTGACAAAACACAATGAGATGCCATGCCACACCCACTGGGATGGCTGTAATCAAAAATAGATAATAACAAGTGCTGACTAGTCTGTGGAGAAATTGGAACCCTCGAGCAAATGCTGGTAGGAATGTAAAATGGTGTAGCCGCTATGGAAGACAGTCTGGAAAAGCTTCACGAAGTTAAATTTAGAGTTAGTTGCAATATGACCCAGCAATTCTACTCCTAGCTATATACCCAAGAGAAATGAAAACATATGCCCACACAAGAACTTATACACGAACATTCATAGCAGCATTATTCATAACAGCCCAAACCTGGAAACAACCCAAATTTTCATCAACAGATGAATGAATAAACAAATTGTGGAATATACTGTGGGGGAGTAAGAGAATTTCTTTTACCCTTCTAGGTTCTTCTGGCTGGTCTAATAATTAAATCAACATGAGACAGAGTAACAAGAGAAAATAACCAAAATTAATTACACATGTATGGGAACCCCCCATACATGAGAGGTTCTGAGACAGAGGTTCTGAGGTACACATGAGCTAAGAATGAGGGGGCACCTTGGGGCTTCAGAGGGGAGGAAGGCCATTTGCAGGAGGATAAGAAGAGCAATATGTTCAGTAATGAGAGGCTTGTCCAAATACCAAAGTTATTTTTGGCAACAACTCTTATTACGGGCAAGGCCCCAAATTTAAATTCGTTAAGGAAGAGTAAAATTTTCTCATGAGCCCACAGAGTCTTGATTGTCTTCGGGTCAAAAAATAATATGCCTGCCAAAGTGGCACATCTTGAGGAGGCCTATTCTGAACCCCTTCAATACATATAATAGAATGTTATTCAGCCATAGAAAGGAACACTGATGCGTGCTATAGCACAGATGAACATCCAAGACTATACTAAGTAAACAAAGCCAGTCAAAAAGGGCCACATAGTATATGCTTCTATTTACATGAAATATCCAGAATAGGTAAATCTACGGAAACAAAGTAGGTTGACGGTTGGCAGTATCTGGGGAGAGGGGATAATGGGAAGTGATGCTAATGAGTACAGGGTTCCTCTTTGGGGTGATGAAAATGTCCTGGAATGGTGATAGTTGCACAATCTTGTGGATATACTAAAAACCACTGAATTGTGTACTTTTAAAGGGTGACTTTTATGGTATGTGAATGATATCTCAATTCAGAAAACAAAGGTCAAAAAAGTAACAACAGGATCCATCTCTCCATCTAGGCACCTCAGTAAAGAATGGGTGCTCTTGTGCTGAGGAATCTCCCATGTAATGGCTCTACTGAACCTACCAGAATGGGTGCTCAACGTCCCCCAAGTAGAGCGGAGGTGACACAGGAACCAAGGGTAGTTATTTTCTGGGTGTGGAATCTCCCTCAGCGTTTTTATGCTATCTTTGTCCTCTCATCCGGCACTCTCATTATTGAAATTCTTGCCTGTGCTGCACACAACTGTTCAGCCTCTTCATAAGTCTGAAAAAGAGGAGATAATTGACGTGGTGAGGTGCGAACTCCCAGGGAGGCATTTTCTTCTGAACAAATGGGCTCCTTCACTTTCCTGTCAGGAGGGTGTTACCTGCTCTCAGTCGGTTTGTAACCTTTTCGCTTTTCCCCTCCTCCTAATCCAGGGGTGGGCAAACTTTTTGACTAGAGGGCCACAATGTGTTCTTAAACTGGACCGGAGGGCCGGAACAAAAGCATGGATGGAGTGTTTGTGTGAACTAATATAAATTCAAAGTAAACATCATTACATAAAAGGGTACGGTCTTTTTTTTTTTTAGTTTTATTCATTTCAAACGGGCCAGATCCGGCCCGCGGGCCGTAGTTTGCCCACGGCTGTCCTAATCCCTTGTCATACACACTTTTGTAAAAATCATGTTGTGCAGCCTAAATAGATACAATTTTTTAAAAATATTTTTATTGATTTCAGAGATAAAGGGAGAGGGAAAGAGAGAGAGAAACATCAATGATGAGAGAGAATCATTGACCCGCTGCCTCCTGCACGCCTCGTACTGGGATTGAGACCGCAACCCAGGCATGTGCATCCTCCTGGTTCTAACCAGCAACCTCCTGGTTCATAGGTAAACACTCAGCCACGGAGCCATGCCGGCCAGGCAATTTTTATTTGCCAATCATAACCTCAGCAAAGCTGGAAAACATTAAATAAATAAGTCCATCAGGATGGGATGGATGGTGGGAACATCTGGTTGGCACCCTGTCCACTTGAGACCGACGGCCTGTCCCAGGAGCCATTTCCCGTTCTCCGTCGGTGCTTCTGCGGACTGCTTGCTGTACTCAGTGTGCCTCAGTGTTAATAGTTGGATGCATCACTTCTATTTTTATGTTTCCCGTGTACTAGAGTGAGATGGTGGCAGTAGCTGCAGATGTCCTCAGCTCGGTTTGGAAGATATGACAGATGTGTCTCTTCCCATCTCTACGTTGTCTGAATCTCAGCCTCAAAATGACATGGTAGTCATGTCACTCCAGTCCTTCCAACCTGAAGGGTGGTGGCTTTGACATCTTGTATTCACGGTTGCACAGAATAATCACTTCATAGTCAGAGCTACACATTTAAGCATGGTAATATTTTAAGATCATTGTGCTAGTGTGATATAATATGCTGTAACATTAATTATCCTTGGCCGATAGGCTCTGTAATATTTCTTATATATAAACTAGAGGCCCAGTGCACAAAATTCATGCACTGGCGGGGGTGGGGTCCCTCAGCCCATCCCAGCCTCAGAGAGCCCTCAGGGAATGTCCAACTGCAGCGGAGGCAGGAGAGGCTCCTGTCACCATGAGTCCAGCTTCTGGCTGAGCAGTGCTCCCCCTGTGGGAGTGCACTGACCACCAGGAGGCAGCTCCTGCATTGAGCGTCCGCCCCCTGACACTCAGCATCAGTGAGTGTTATAGCAACTGGTCATTCCACCATTTGGTCCATTTGCATATTAGCCTTTTATTATATAGGCTTGCTTTCCTACATGTAAATGGTTATGTCCTAGAATATACAGAGGTACTCTGATTTTAAGAATTTTTCCCACAGGCTAAATCTGCCTTCTCAAGAATCACTCGCTTTGTAATAAATCATCATAATTTACAGTATATAAGTAAGCTGAGAATAATCAAAAACCAGGGGCATGGGGGATTCTCTTACTTATTCTTTATTTCCCTTTCTTTCTATTATATTTGAGTCCTGTAGTATTCACAGTTGCTGGTGAGGCACTAGCTGCAGAGATGCCCCCCAAGGGACAACTCGGGGCTTGAGACTCAGCTCTCAAGTGGAGATTGCGCCAGTAGGAAGTGGAAACAGTTTCTGTTAAGTTTGCATGGAAGCACTCATGAGGGTGGTGATTGCTGGGACTGATGGATTACCCAGTGCTTTCCAAGGTCACTTCTCCTGTATTCCCTTCATCCTGAGGTCTGGCCTGCAGCCATCAGAGCTGCTGTCAAGGATAGGTTCCTGTTAACCCACCTGCAGGCCTGGAGAAGGGGCCTCAGAATGAAACCTGCCTTGTCGGCACCTTGATCTTGGACTTGTAGCCTCCAGAACTGTGAGAAATACAGTTCTGTTGTTTAAGCCACCCAGTCTGTGGTATTTTGTTATGGTGGCTCAATCAGGCTAACATACACAAGAAACAAATAAATGTGTTTCCAAAGTGACCTAAAGTGAATACTGAAACATCAGCTGTTCTGCAGGAGAAAATGATCTGACGTGAACTAACAGGATCAGCCTAAACCACCTTTTGGTGAAATATTCTGAGAGTTTTGCGTGTGGTTTAACTGAAATCATCGGTCCCAGTGGGCAAGGGCAGGTGACGGCCTGAGTTCTCACCCTGACTTAGCCATAACTAGCAGGCTGCTGTCGGCAAGCACTCAGTATGCTTGGGGCTCAGACTGTGCACCCAAACGTGATGTGTCTAGAATGGGTGATCTCTGAGCATCTTTGACCTCTAAAAGTCCTGGTTCTGACAGACTCTTGGAAATGAGGACCCTCTGGCTAATAATGAAAAGCAGGCACTATTCTGTGCCCGGCACTAGGCTGGACTCTATGCATTATCTCACATGTTCATAACAACCCAGCAAGATGGGGTTCGTACCCATTTAAGAGAGGAGGAAACAGTACCCCCAAAGGTAAATAACCTGCACAGAGTCATACAGCTGGAAAGTAGGCAGAGCCAGGAATTGATTTTAGATCTGTCTGTCTGTATGCCCCACTTTAACACCCCTATACCCTCCACCACACCACTCTGCCTCTTGATTTGGTGGCAATCTGCCTGGCCTTCAATCTCTCCTGGTATTTGGGCTTCCTGCACTGACTTGCCTTGTCACTTGTCATGATAGAGGCTTTTATAATTGCTTCATTTATCTCGATCTTCAGAAGCTGCCAGATCTGGCAAAGGCATTGCTTGCTTTGTGCAATACAGTGCAGCCTCACTTAAATGCAATAACCCATGCATAGCCCTAAAAACAGTGGTTGGCCCACATAAGCACTCGGTACATGTTATTTCTCATTAGTAGGTCCCTATGTGTCTGATTGTTCACTTTCCCTGGATCACTTGGGAGTACCAGGCAGCATGTACCAGGAGCTTGCATCACTCACCATTGAGTAGAGTGGATATGACTTTCCTCACTGTACCTCACTGGAGGGAAACCCAGGTCCCACTCCTGTCCAACTCCCACATCTTCCTATATAGGGCAAGGAGCTGAACTGTGTGGATAGCAGTGTGGCAGGATCGTACCAGCCCAGATATCACAGGGTCTGGCAAAGATGACGCTCATTCATTCTTGTCACTGAATGGCCAAACCTAGAGGAGAGGTACATCACCCTTAGAGACTACAGCCAAATCGTCTTTTCATTAAACTTCTTTAACTAGGTGCCTGACATGCTAACTACAGAGGCTAAGGGAAAGGTAATTCCTCTTTTCTTCGCGTCCCCAAACTATCTCTGTAGTTTAAGGAGAAAAAAAAACACTCCTCTTCCCTGCCTCTCAAACTCCTAGCCATCCCCAGGGTCCAGCTCAAAGTTCTCTGGGGGCACCCCCAATGATTAATACAATGCTGGGCATATAGTAACAGGCCCTCCTGAAAAAATGACAGCGTTCTAGTTCCCTCTGAGAAAGTTAACTAGTGTGTGTGTGTGTGTGTGTGTGTGTGTGTGTGTGTGTGTGAGTTCCTCAGCCTCACTGTGAGCCCATGTTCTCCAGGGACTAGAGGACCCACAGGACTCCTCATATTCCTGAAATTCTACATTGCATATGCCAAGGGAAAGAATAAAGCTCAGGGGAAAATGCTCTTTTTTAATGATTTGAAAATAAAATAATTACCCACTTTCCCGTTTCAAAAACCTATCAGATTATTTTGCCTGC